ATAAGCCGGGTGGATCAGCAAACCGTTTCTGGGGACTTGCGAGCGCTTTGGACCCCCGGCTTCCTCTAGAAAATGTTCACTGCTCTCTTCCCTTCCAGCCGACGCCTGTGACAAATACAAGTCATCGCACAGTGTGTTGATCACTGGTTATGGGGAGGATAAAGACGGCACCAAGTGAGTGTGGCCTTCACTGAGGATTACCAATCTGCTCATAGATATTGGGAGTTCAAGAACTCCTGGGGCACGGATTGGGGAATGCAAGGGTATGGTAGACTGCTCCGTGGAAAAGGTGGCGAAGGTGTGAACGCTCTCGGTCTTATCCTCCCATCTCTCATGCACAGGTGAATGTGGCATCCTGAAGCAAACTTACTATCCCCTTTTGAAGGACGACCTCGATCCTGGCGAGCAGTGTGTGTAGCTTCGCTACAACCAGAAGCCTACAGAGTGCTTTGTGCCTTCGTCCATACCGCTCAGGCTGAACGATCCTTGCTCTCAGAGCGAGGATCTGCTGAGATTCTTTTTCTTTGAAGTTGTTATCTGAGGATTCTTGATGATCCAGTGATCAAATACCTGACTAAACCTTACTTGTCAGGCGATTTGAATAAACAATCGTTGTGTTATAACTCGTACCCTACGAGTTCCGTCAAGACAGCATTCGCGGGGTCTCGGCGGCGAGGACGAGAGTGAGCCACCGTGGTTCATTCTCCGTGGGCCACGGACCGTAGCTCAGCCATGCAACGGGACAAACTTATTTTTCCCTCCCCGAAATTCATCCCTGGAATCGAGAGATTGTGTATCAAACTATTGATTTGAACAAGTGTTTATAGCGCAAGTTGTGCTGCGCAACCCATTTACCACAGCCAAGACCAACATTAGGCGCTGAATCCACCTTCAACTGGTCAATGTGACCGATAAATGTATGATCAGTACGTTGGGATCCCAACGTACTGGTCAACGATGCTGAGCTTCCTTCTATAACGGCCCTTAGAGCTTCAAGAGAACGAAAGAAGCGACCCTCAGGCTAAGGGCCTCAGCATTTGCTAATCCAGCAGATACCTGGTCATTAGGGAGTGTCGCGGCGACATTGCGCCGCGCAGTCTGCGCGTTTTGTGAAATGGGAGCACATAGTGGGAAGAAGCTTTCGGCCTTGAACGCACCAATAGGTGGTATCTACCAGATACAAGTTGAGGTGCAGCTGCAAAGCTTTGACGTGGGGGCTAGGCAGTAGGGATTGTTGCTGCAGGTTACACTGAGGAGTCCACAGTATGGACGTTTAGAGACACAATTTCTCGGAATAGGTGGTCCAAAAATTCGTCATGTCCTGATATGGCATTTACGACTCCCAGTGTGTGGAAGGCTTAATGGTGCTGCTTATCGGCCGGCCCACGGGGATGCCAGCGACCGTCATGTCACATGAATCATTCGTTCGACTACTTTGTCAGGGCTGCAACGTGTACATGTGTACACCGTGCTTGAATATATTTACTTGTACAGTGTACGACTATATTTAACATATTGGGCGTGAAGTACCGCGAGCGATATGGTTGCGCACCATTGGTGGGGCCTCCCAAACGGGGCCCCCATACACGCTTGAGAAATAGCACGCAAAAATGTAAGTGCGGTATTTCTTGGGTGCCATCCTCTCAAACACCTCAACGAATAGTTTATACCTCGGGGGGAAGGACCTTGTGGATGGGCCCTTCAGTTTTTACTCTGAGCGAATTTTGGAAGTGAACAACTTTTCTCGAAATGTGTGTCTCCGCAGCTAACAACGAGGCGGGATATACCAAAATTGATTGGTGGAAACTAACTGGACAACGCACTCCCCCCAGCACATCCCCTTTCCAGTGCGAGTCGACGGTTGATGGCAGTCCTGTCGGCCGGCCGGCGTGCCATTATGGCCCAGCCGTAAGCTGCACTGTGAAGCATTCCACTGTGGAATTTCCACACGCTGGGAACCCGCGAATGCCGTACTAGGATACCACGACTCTGTTGACCTACTATTCTCAGAGGTTGTTCGTTTTGATTATGTCTACATTGTAGACTCTACAAACGACCACAATGTCATCTCCGACAACGAATACCATGAACCATGGCCTCGTACATCGCGTGATTTAGTTTGCCTGCAGTTATTAGTTATAGCCGTAATTTACGTCCATATCCAACAACTGCACCTCGATGATTGATATCTAATAGGTATTGTTTATAGATGCGGTTTCTGTTCAAGATCAC